CCAAGGTTTTAACTCTGGATTTATACGAGAACCTGAGAGACAGTTGCACCCAGTGGTTTCACCCTGGATGATGTCATTCAGACTGGGGCTGACAATCCTGGTAAAATGCTTTGAGAATATTCTGTGTAAACCAGCTGAAATACTATGTGCAAGACCAGTTGCTTGCCTTTACTCAGTTTATGGAAGTGATGTTTCTGTGGGCCAACCACAGAAATGCAACTGTCTGCAGCAGCTGAAGGCCAAGTGTGCTGAGTCAAAGCGCAACTTGTTATAACTACTCTAACATCTGCAGTATATGAACATAAACAACTACTTGGTTGTCTTCTAGAGCTAGTCAAGTAGCCATAAACTAGTCTCTCTAGTCCAAAAAAGGCTTATTGGTAACAGCTGTGTAGTGACTTTACATTTCATCCAGCTAATGAAATGTAAAGGTTAGGGGCTGTCTTCAACTGGTGGTTCTCACTGTGCATGTGTGTAGGAAAGCAGTACTGTACTACCACTAGAGGTGCAACCATCAGGTTAATGCTATTCTGGAATACAGTCAAACTGCAACCAAACTTGGCTGTCTTTAATTTTATTACCACTCCAGGCCATCCCTTCATCATGACTGTAGGATGTGTAGCTGGTGATGAAGAATCCTATGATGTGTTTAAGGAACTCTTTGATCCAGTTATTGAAGACCGACATGGAGGCTACAAACCAAGTGATGAGCACAAGACTGACTTGAACTCTGATAACCTTCAGGTATGGAGGCTTATCTGAAATACTGGTAGTCAAAAGCTCTACTGCTGTTATTTGACCTGAAGTTAAGAATCTTGGACCAAGTCAGTTGGAGTTGCTTGTTTCTCTGTCAGCTGGGCTCTGTCCTTGTGTTTGACCTGTTGGCACCTGTTTTTTGAGTCTTTTATTTTTCCCCCAGAGCCTTTCTCTCTAACTCTGGCAAATGGCTTAGTGCCACCTGTCATGGATTTTCATGCAAGACACTATCATGACTTGTCTTGGTCTGCACTAATGTGACCACAATGACTGTTCCAACCATGGTCACAGTTTCTGCACTTGTATTTGATGTCTGAAGCTCCCTTTATCTTCTAGATTCTTTATTAATAACTAGGCATTATTTGATGTTCTAGTATGTCCTTTTAAACCATTTGAACTATCAGATTTAGTATTGCACAGCGTTTGTCAAGGTTAGAACTCTCCAGGTGTATCCCCTCCTTGATTCCAGGAATCCCTCACAATGTGCATGGACACAAAGATGGGAATAGCTCTTGGAGTAGACTTGAAAAGAAAAGGATTCTCTTTTTTTATCATCTGTATTAAGATCCTACATCTCCTATCATAGGAGTTAATGACAAGGAACTAAAATAAAATGAGGAGCTGCTTTTTTGACACCCCCCACCCCGAGTCCACGTATACATGAGAACCCCATACATTTGGGTATTGAAAAATGTAGATTTGGTGATGCTTATGATTTTCAGTAAGCAGAAATGTACTGAGAACTGATGACCAAGAAGATTTAGATGCATGTCAAGCACTTGCCAATCTAATCGAAAGTAGCTTGAGAATTGATGCCAAATCAGCCAAGTTCTAATTCTTTGGTGTTGGTGCATGCAAAATTTTATATGCCACCCTTCCTAGAAAAGATGCTGGACATTTCAACATAAAAACAGTGGAAGTTTTAAGGGTGGAAATTCCGGCAGGAAGCTGGTATTAAGTTTTTTTTTTTTAAATATCTTATAGGGTGGTGATGACCTGGATCCTAACTACGTGCTAAGTTCCCGTGTCAGAACTGGCAGGAGTATCCGTGGATTCTGTCTTCCCCCTCACTGTAGCAGAGGAGAGAGGCGGGCGATAGAAAAGCTTTCTGTTGAAGGTAAAATGAGATGTGTATTGATTCTTTTTAACTGAAAATGATAGTCTTTGTCCCTGTTGGCCCAGCTGCTGAACTGCAAAGATCTTGAACGTGGAGATGCAACACAAGTCCTGTATTAAACCAGCAAATGTAGTGATGCAGCTCTGGTTCCATTAATGCTTAACCAGAGTATCTTTTGCATGCCAAGGAGAACGAGATTGTGTTAAGGAGACATGTTATGACTTTCGAGGCTTTAGTTTCCACTGTTGGATAGCAATAGTGTATACTTGACAGCAGGCTTTAGACTCTTAAATAGGATGTGTTGCTCAGCTCATGCTTTTAATAGCAACCATAGCTGCAACCCATTTAGGCTTCTCCAAGATGGTATGCTACCACTAAACGGGATGCACTTTGACTACTTGTAGGCTCTAGAAGTGCACCTCATCACGGATAGCTGCCTTGTTACTGCTAAGTACAGATATTTATCCTTGGTAACGAAGAGCCTTGAACAGAGTAATGCTGGTCATTTACATGTAAATGACCAAAGTTAGTATCCTGTAGTAATAGCATAATGAAGTAGCTTATTCCACTCCTGGGTAATATTAGGCTTAACCATTTCTTTCATAGCTTTTAAATTTCTTCAGACTTAAAATTGGCTGAGGAATTAAAAGATACAGTAGTCACAAAAGAGTAATCTTATTCTGGGGACTGGACTGCAAATGGAAAATGGAGGAAGAAACTAACCAGCTTCCAAATGCCAGAATACTGCTGTAGCCTCTCAAACAGGAAGAACATAACTGGCTGGGGGTATGTCTTGTATTCACGTCCTAAAAGTGACTCTTGCTTTCAGCCCTGGGAAGTCTGGAAGGTGACCTGAAAGGGAAATATTATGCTCTGAAGAACATGACTGATGCAGAGCAGCAGCAGCTGATTGATGATCACTTCCTGTTTGATAAGCCAGTTTCTCCTCTTCTGTTGGCATCTGGAATGGCACGAGACTGGCCAGATGCCAGAGGTATCTGGTGAGTACAGACAATGAAAATAAGGGGCAGCCTTTAAGCCTCTGGCAAGGAGATTCTTGCGCAGTTGTTGGAGTGATCCATGTGAAAAATACTAGTATGCAGAAGCTGCTATTTTGAAGTGGTAGTGATGTATACAGTCCTCTGCAATCTGCTGTAGGAATTTGCCTATCGCTTCTTAAGGGCTTCATCTCATTGCTCATAATTTTGCCATTTGAGGCTTTACATTTTAGTCACTTTGAGCAAAATTGAAGGAAAAACACCACTATAGGAGAGGACAGTTTGGTTCATATGTTAAATTTTTTTTTAAATTGGCTAATCCAGTAATTCGCCACTTATGAGTTGGACCAGACTCTTATGAGAAGTTAAACAATCTCATTATTAAAATAACTGTAGCAAATTAGTTTTGCATCAAACTTTACAAAAAAAATGCAAAAAAAAAATGTCATCTTGCACAAGCTTTTAATGAAACCCCGGTAGGAAATACTGCTGTTGCCTTTCTGCTTCAAGGCCCAGGAAGTCACATAGACAAGCTGTGGCTTCTTTTTAACTAGAACTATCAGGTCTTTTTTTTTTTCTTCTCTCAGGCTGCTGCAAGGGTATAATGGAAGGAATAAACTTATCTAACCAGTAACAATCCACCTTGGTATGGGGGTCCATCCCCCAATTCAGTTTTCTAGTCTTGAGTCCTCTCAGTTCTTCTACTGAAGTCGATAGAACCCTTCAGGCACTTCTCTTTTTGAAGGTGACCTACAAAAGATTGCATCACCTACCTGCAGATATCAACATTAGATTGCTCTGTCAACTGAGCATGACTAACCTAGGTCTCCTATTAAATAGAACCTTTCAGTGCTCTTCATGTAACCTTCATCCCTGAATTAATTATTGCCTGAAAACAATGAAATTGACAACTAATGTTATCAGTATAACATTTAATTTTTTGTCTGGCAGCAGGCCCTATCTGAAGGCAAGGGCAAAGCGACCACAGTGTCCTGAGACTTGCAGACTTCCTTTTTTTTTTTTTTTTAAGGGGGTGTTGTCTGGAAGGAAGTAACCAAACTGAATGCATAATGGCTTTACTCCACTGGGCTTGATATGTGAAGCCTATTAACAGAAGGTGCACTTTCCATTCCAAATACTGTCAAAGTCAGATTCATGCAGCTTTCAACCAGGGCTGCACAACTTGGCCTCTGTTTTAGGGTCCCTGTCCCCTTTTCCCAAAGGGAAAAAAAAAGTTCCCAACATTTCTTCTCCTGCATGTGCAGCCTGGCTCCCTCTGCCCTACCTTGCGGGGTGGTGGTGGTGAGGAAACATAAGAATTTGGAACCTGGAAGAGGCAGGGGCAGCCTGGAGACCCTGGCTACTGTGGCTGCAAGACCAGTGGATGAAGTAGTGGCTGTATGGGAGCCTGCAGGCTGCATGTTTAATCC